TTCAGGTATAGCTTATAAAAGTTATGCTGAATTTGTACTCTAAGAAAATATACTGCTACTTCAATTAAAATCAGCAAGAGGCACAGTTCTTATGAAAAACGTTTAGGAAAGAGGTAGGCTGCTGCTGTCCCTGCTGAGGTGGGGACTTATGTGTTTACCCTCTCTGTTTGACTGGGAAAGGAACGACCTTGCAATTAGGATGTGTTTTGCAGTGACGGCTGCCTGAGAGAGGGTATCCCTTACTTTAAATATATTTTCTCTCACCTCCTGTTATGTCTACAGGGCAGGGAATAAAGGGAAATCTCCCCAAAGGGGCACAGATGGGGAAAAAAAGTACCAAAAATAACAAGGGTTTTAACTATTTTCTACTACTCTATATAAAACTATATTAAAAAAATCAATGGAGACGAGGAACATTAAGATTCATCAGCACAGTTTGCAGTAGGTCAAACTTTTAAAATTCCAAACTAGCAATGCTGAAGTCCAACAACTGCAAGTTCATGTTTTACAGATGTCTTACATGCATCAATTGTGCAATAATCAGATGTTTCACTTAAAGTGACACTAAACTCAGGAATTCATTCTTAAAATGCATTCAAATACCCCCAACTATTAACAAAATTGTAGCTTATTTGTGTATCACTCAGCTATAGACCCTGAAATCATATCTGAATTAATGCTGACACTGTCCTACCTTCTGGAGAGTGGCTACTTTTGTTTCCCATGGTCCGTTTGTGTATTGTAAAGTAGCCACCACTCCAAGCTCTTACATAGCAAACTAAATGTACGATTATAGTCTATCACATGAGTGAGCTTGGAGCGGTGTCTACTTTACAAAACACAAAGGGACCATGGGGAACAAAAGTAGCCACCCTCCAGAAGGAAGGACAGCTTCAGCATGAATTCAGAGATGATTTGAAGATCTACAGCTGAGTGATACACAAATTAGATAAATTTTTGTTAATAGTTAGGGTACTCCTGAGTTTAGTATCACTTTAAACTGTAATACACTAACAAGAGTTGGTGATATGGCAAAAAAATACTACCTTTTACTGGTCCATGAAAAAAGGTTTGAGAAGTACTGCATCTTGGGTGGCCAGGAGGAGACTTGATTTAGTAAGCCATGACTTTTAATGATTTTGAGTATCATTTACCATTGATTTAGTAAACCATGTGCTATCTTATCAAAGAAAAGTCAGGGGTCTACACTATCAAAACAATCTCAAACATAATTGCCCTTGCAGAAAACGTATATTGTAATTTTAGGCCTGAGTCAGACATACTGTAGAAATTCAGACATTTGTATTACATAATGGTGAGGTGAATAACCAACTGGTTACTCATATGTCTCATGGGTGTGAAACCTCTGATCTTAGAGTTATAGTCCTACAATTTATTGCAGCTTTTATGAAGAAGTCTTGCTCTTTCTGTTTATATGTTGCTGTATCTGAAGCAAAACAACATCATGGTATAGAAGAGCCAGAAACTGCAGTTGAGGGGTTCTTAGCCACGATAGTCCCATGAAGATATTAGAACCCAATGGGTGTTTGAATCTCCCAGCATGCTTCCATAATGAAATACCCCTTTAAGCTATATTTTCATTTTTGGGTTAAGACACATTTTTACCATCAATTCACTGTTATACATTTTTTTCCAGTGTTCTCATTCGACATATTTTCAAGACTCAAGAAAAATAAAATAAATTCATTAAGAACAATCAATGTGTGAGTTTCTAGTTTATTTGAAAAACTGTTTTTATTGACTTCTGCTGAGAATGACATGTGCTCCGTTCATTGACTTTTTACCTACAAGATGACTAACAGCTGAAGGGCAATTCACACAGTGACACATTGTTCGAGTACTGCTACATGGCAAGGATTAGATAACCTATATCTGAAATGATAGCATTTTGTTATATCCAGAAGTTTAACAAATTGCTTCATTTCTGAAGGGCTGATATTTGATATGCTCACTCATGTGAATAATTTCTCTGCTTTATTAAACATTCTCAATAAAAGGCAATCAGACGTGGGAAAGTCTTGTAGCTAGTGCTATATATTGTTTGAGGCTAGGCTTGACGTTTTCTTATACCGATATATTACTAGGCTTAAGCCATTTTGATTTATATAATATAGTGTATAATGCAATTCAACAGTACATGTTGTCAGTCCTAATGATATCACTGCTTATTATTAGTAGGTCAGGCTTAGGCTTAGGAATGAACTGATCTTCCACAGATCAGTTTAAATAATAATCATACTCCAAAAAAAGAAACAAACCTGTTATGTGCATATTTTCTTAAAGTGGACCTAATATCACATACATTTTCTTGTTATATGCATGCATGTCTATAATATGTTAATGTCACACTTACTGGTAATCATTACCCCTCACCAAGATCACAATATTTCCCCTGATAATACTTTCATCTACTTTTCTTTTTAGACATCCTGCCCTATCTTTAGTCAGACAATATCCAGGGTCAGCATCTAATTTGTTGATAGTCTCAGAAATGGCATACCGTATATACTCGAGTATAAGCCGAGATTTTCAGCCCATTTTTTTGGGTGAAAAGTGCCCCCCTCGGCTTATACTCGAGTCAGCGCCAGCGCGTCATCTTACTTACCTTGCCGAGCGTCGCGTCACTGCTGCTCCGGTGTGCGGCACTCCGTGCGGGGTCATCTGGCAGTCTCCGGGTCCTAATTTAGGTGGCTGGAGACTGCCAGATGACCCCGCTCGGAGCGCCGCACACCGGAGCAGCAGTGATGCTCAGCGAGGTAAGTAAGAAGAAGAAAACCCCCCTCGCAGCGGCCAGTCAGGCAGGGGAGCAGGGATGAGTCAGCGGCGCGCTGATCAGGCGAGAGGAGCTCAGGGTGGGGTTGTAATTTAGCGGGCAGGCACCTCGGAGCCAGCTAAATTAGGACCCCTACTAACAGCTGAAGGGCAATTCACACAGTGACACATTGTTCGAGTACTGCTACATGGCAAGGATTAGATAACCTATATCTGAAATGATAGCATTTTGTTATATCCAGAAGTTTAACAAATTGCTTCATTTCTGAAGGGCTGATATTTGATATGCTCACTCATGTGAATAATTTCTCTGCTTTATTAAACATTCTCAATAAAAGGCAATCAGACGTGGGAAAGTCTTGTAGCTAGTGCTATATATTGTTTGAGGCTAGGCTTGACGTTTTCTTATACCGATATATTACTAGGCTTAAGCCATTTTGATTTATATAATATAGTGTATAATGCAATTCAACAGTACATGTTGTCAGTCCTAATGATATCACTGCTTATTATTAGTAGGTCAGGCTTAGGCTTAGGAATGAACTGATCTTCCACAGATCAGTTTAAATAATAATCATACTCCAAAAAAAGAAACAAACCTGTTATGTGCATATTTTCTTAAAGTGGACCTAATATCACATACATTTTCTTGTTATATGCATGCATGTCTATAATATGTTAATGTCACACTTACTGGTAATCATTACCCCTCACCAAGATCACAATATTTCCCCTGATAATACTTTCATCTACTTTTCTTTTTAGACATCCTGCCCTATCTTTAGTCAGACAATATCCAGGGTCAGCATCTAATTTGTTGATAGTCTCAGAAATGGCATACCGTATATACTCGAGTATAAGCCGAGATTTTCAGCCCATTTTTTTGGGTGAAAAGTGCCCCCCTCGGCTTATACTCTAGTCAGCGCCAGCGCGTCATCTTACTTACCTCGCCGAGCGTCGCGTCACTGCTGCTCCGGTGTGCGGC